TTTGCATGATTTGCTCTAAATCTTTTTTCTATTTTGAAAGCCCTCATGAGCTGATCTGTCAGGGGTTTGTTTCTGTTGCAAAAGAGCAAAAACGGCTTCAGAGTGTAAATGCAAAGTTGTGATGACCTGAGGGCCTGTATTTGCATATTCAGCGGGATAGGAGGTTTAACTTTAGTATTCCCTCAATATTTCCCAGTACTGGGTTTGCAGAGAGAGGAGAAGGATCGACAAAGGACCTCAAGCTGGGAATCAAACTTGGGTCGCCGCGAGCACCTGGGTGCTATATGTTGATGCACTAACCACTAGGCTATTGGCAACAACCCAATGGCACTTTGAACTCCATTTATTTTACTCTCCAGAAAAGCAAGTCAAATGTCTTTTTAAAAAGCCCTTTAAATTGTGCATTTAAACGCATTTGTCAATTCTATACACAGTTGAAGTCAGGATTATTAGCCCTCTTTTGATTTTTTTCTTCTTTTTAAAATATTTTCCAAATGATGTTTAACAGAGCAAGGGAATTTTCACAGTATGTCTGATAATATTTTTTCTTTTCTGAAAAAGGTTTATTTGTTTTATTTCAGGTAGAATAAAAGCAGTTTTTAACTTTTTGAAATGCATTTAAAGGTCAAAATTATTAGCCCCATTAAGCTACATTTTTCTAAAGTCTACAGAAAAAACATCCTTATACTTGCCTAATTACCCTAACCTGCCTAGTTAACCTATTTATACTAGTAATTCTTTAAATGTCACTTCAAGCTGTATAAAAGTGTCTTGTAAAATATCTAGTCAAATATTATTTACTGTCATCATGGCAAAGATTAAATAAATCATTTAGTAGAAATGAGCTATTAAAACTATTATAATTAGAAAAGTGCTGAGAAAATCTTCTCTCCGTTAAACAGAAATTGGGGAAAAAATAAACAGAGGGGCTGATAATTCAGGGGGGCTAATAAGTCTGACTTCAACTGTAAATATACTTTTATCATTGTTTGATTAATCTGCATTTTAAAACATAAATTAAATAAACATTTATAAAATTGTCTATTTATTCATTTAAAAGTAACTTTTTAAAGGCATTGATTTATTGCTTTATTAACTGAAATTTAAAAGCACAATTTAAATAAACACATTTAACTATGTATATTTGTTTGTGCATTTAAATCGTGATTTATTTATACACATTTTAATTATTCAATTATTAAATTGATAATTTGATTATTTTATTTCTAACCGGCACTCCTGGTCCTCCATATTAAAGCACACAATAGGCAAGTACCGAAAAACCAAACACAGTCTAGTAAAGACTTTCAATCAATAATGACCCAAATAAAAGCCACAATACCATTTAAGCTTTATTATGATATCTGATAGTTTACAATACAGTGAAAACAGACAAATGTGACTCTTCTTTACTAGGACAGAACGCAAAGCAATGTAATCAAGTAAAAAGAAGAAAAAGCTTTTTTTTTGCATTGAAGAAATAAAAAGAAAAGAAAAGAAAGAAAACCAGGCACGACTTAATATAGCCATTATAAATACAACATGCTTTAGACCTTATATTTTAACAGTCCTAAGAAAATAACTCAGCAAACGTATACAATCGTTTCCTTTGCATACCACTGTCGCCTTTAACTAGAATGACGAATCTCAGCTCTAGAAAGGTCTGAAACCAGTGTCACTAAAAGAAACAAGGAAAAAAGGGAAGTAAACAATCTTTTCTAATCGCCAAAACATCAGAAACACTTTAATATGTTGCAGTAAAAGACAATCACAATTCTCAAATCAACAAAAAAACAAAGACAAATATGAATAATTGCCCACTTTGTATTTGGAGAGGCCACAAACTTGCTTTTTTGGTTTGACCCAGTAATTATAAAAGCGATAGCTCACTTAAAAATGAACATTTTGTCATCATTTACTCACTTGTTGAACACAAACGAAGATATTTGGAAGAATGTTGGAGCTGCCACCAATTGACTTCCATCATATTTTTTTTCCGATACCGTAAAAATGCTGTATTCCACACTGTTCCTTCATGTTGTCCCAACACAAATTGATTAAATTAACCTAATTGTTTTTGCAAATTCAAAGCACCTGCTTTTAATGTTATCACTCGATTGAATGGGCGTTATCAGCTAATAGATACAGGTTAGCTCAGAAGGCTGTTATCATCCATCCCCATGGTAATCAGCTATACTAATAGAGAAGACTCCAGACCTGCTTTTACATTACTGTGAGGGTTGGGTTTAGGTAGATGTTAATAAAACACAATTAATGGGAAATTTAACAAGTAATATGAATAATTCTTGTAGTTAATCAGCAATACTAATAGAGAAGTCTACAGATCTGTTTGTACGTTACGGTGAGGGTTGGGTAGGGGTAAACATTAATAAAATACAACCAATGGAAAATTTAATAAATAATATAACTAATTCTCATGGTTAATCTGCTATACTAATAGAGAAGAGTCAAGATCCAGATCTGTTTGTATGTTACTGTGTCAGTTGGGTTTAGGTAGATGCTAATAAGATATAATTAATGGGAAATTTACCAATTAATATAATATTTTTATGGTTAATCAGCCATACTAATAGAGAAGATTCCAGATCCGTTTGTACATTACTGTGATAGTAGGGTTTAGGGTTGGGGTAGACATTAATAACATAAAATAAATGGGAAATTTACAGAGTAATAACTAATTCTCATGGCTATTCAGCTATACTAATAGAGACGACTCCAGATCTGTTTGTACATTACTGTGATAGTTGGGGTTAGGGTTGGGGTAAATGCTAATAAGATACAATTAATGGAAAATTTACTAAATAATATAACATTCTTGTGGTTAATCAGCTAGATCCAGATCTGTTTTTACATTACTGTGGCGGTTGAGTTTAGGGTTAAGGTATTGGTAGACGTTAACAAAATTCAATTAATGGGAAATTTAATAAACAACATACTGTAAATAGTTCTTGTTAACTTCCGGCCACTGCCATATGTGATCTATAGCTGATTAATCATGTGAATAGATGATTACAGCCTTCTAAGCCTACCAGTAGGCACAGAAGACCCCAAATGGCCCATATCCATCAGCTGATAATGCCCGTTCAATCTAGTAATAACATTCAAATCGGCTAATTTAAGTGGATAAAACAATTAAGTTGTCCTAAAAAAAGCTCATTTTTTGAATGTATTTTGTAAATCGATGGATGAAAGCAACCAGCATTCTTCAAAATATCTTCTTTTGTGAACAAAAACAATGAATAAATGAATAAATGATGAGGTTATTTTAATTTTGAGTGAACTATCTCTTCAAAAAGAACACTCAAAGTTTGTTTTGGTTGAGCGAAGTCATATTTTTTGGTGCGCACTGACAGTGTGACACTGGCCTCCATCTAGTTCTGCTTTTAAAACTCATTGTATTCGATTTTAATGTTTGTAAAATAGTCTGGGTCGATGTTTCTATTGTGAAATTTCGTCAGGTGAATCCAGCTCACCGCTGACCACGATGCTAAAACACAACCGGCAGACGTTAGGCTCTCGACAGGAAACCATCAAAGAATGATAATCAACTTTAATAATAAAGAACGGAGGAAAAAAAAGAACTAAAAGTACACAAAGCTCATTATCATCAAGCTAAAAAGCACACATCAAAACACCTCAAAAAGAAGTGTGCTAAAGGAAACAGCACAGAGGAACTAGTGAACAACAGCACAAATAAAGTGAGGGAAGTAAGGGAACACACACACACACACACACTCCTGCATCCGCACATACACACTTTCATCTATCACACACACACAAATATATATATATAAAGCCAGAGGTACAGTGAACAAAAGTGCTTCAAGTCGGGGAAGTAGAGAAACTAACCCAGTAGAAATATGTATAAAACCTTAAATATGTTACGTTATGTACAAAACTGTGTGAGAGAGGGACAAGGTATTGTCTGTAACTCTGTATCATCTTTCAAGTAAGATATTTCTACAACTATTTTGTTTGCATTGACTGATTCAAAGGTCACGTGACCTGACTGACCTTTTTCGGCGGCGACCGCTGTAACAGAGGGTTCGCCATTCATTCTACTATTGCCCGCAATCCCACCCACCCAAAACCTCGATATTTATTGGTATTATCTGATAGATATTTATTTATACTTAATAAAAATCTACTCTATAAGAAGCCCCGCCCCCTCCTACTCTAACAGCCCCGCCCTCTTTTAAATCCGAATACAACCACCGCCATTTCAGAACAGCTCTAGCTTTGACATAAAACTATGAAAAAAATACTGGATTATATCGGTATAGACGTTCGAGGTTTTTCCGTGAGGTTCGTTTCCAAGTTGTTTCTCCGTGTCGTTTCTCCGTGTCGTTTTCGAGCTTCTAGTAGATGTGCTGGATTCTCATAGTCATGCGCCGCACAACACAGGAGAGGGAGATTTCGTTTTTATATATATATATAAATCTTTTGAAGAGGCACAAGATTCATGCTGCTTAGAGGCAAAGATGTGGAGAAAAGCTACAAAAGGAAGTCGCGTCCGCTCGCATGCTCTCAGACAGCCCGGGTAAAGTGCAGAAGGTTTAAAGTGAAAGCTCTGGATTGCATTTATCTCTATTAGCAGCAAAAGAATCACCTAGCGCCACTTTGAATCCGATTGTAAAAAGAAATTAAAAAGAGACCTGCTTCTGTTGAATCCAAAATGGATGACGTAGCGAAAGAAAGCCAGATTTCTGTGAAACTAGAGGGAGATGATCAAGCCAGCAACCACCCGATCCCGCGAATCATTCAAAGCATCTAATACAATCATTCCATTATTATCGATGAACAAAAAAGGCCATAAAATGGACAGACTTTTGCCTCTAAACCCATGAACAAGGCCTCTGCAAAGTGCAAACAAAGTAACTGCATTCAAGTATGCCATAAACATAATGCGTCAAACATGTGCTTAACACACAAATCACACATAGCAATGAACAAACACATGATTGTAATATCAACAACAATAGTTTTGTAAAATCATTTGGCGTGAAGGGGGATGAAAACACAACATTGTTCTGAGGAGGACACTAGTTTCAGTTTCTCATCCAAACGGCTGTCGCTCGTCTTTCTCTCGTCTATGGTTATGGTTGCAAAATGGATCCTGCCACAAATGCCAACTCAAAGACGTGTGTTTGTGTAATCTCACCAAACAAAAAAAGCACCAGAGACAACTAAAGCTCCTGCAGGGGGGGTCAGATGCTACTGCTGTACCAGAGTGTCCCACGAATTGCACAGTGAAGTCATCCGAAAAACGGTTAAAACGGGAGTTCATAAATACCAAAATAAATGCCATGCCACTGCAATGCTGAGCGCCCACCCCATCCCAAATATACTGCTACATAGCCCAATCTAACGGGTGCCAATCGTGAAGGCCTGACTTCAGAGGAGGCTTCGTCAAATGCTAACCAGTAACATCAGTCCACCAGGAAGGAGGATTCCCATCCCAAAAAGAAAGAAAACGCACACTTAAAAACTGCACAGCTCCTGCTCGTTCACAAAAAGAGGAGGAGGATGTGAAGTGGAGATTAAAAAAAAGAAAAGTGTGTCTTCTGGATACTGTTAACGGCTTACGAGGAGCACAAGGAGGGCCGAGCACACCCAAACCAGTTAATGGGGCAGAAACTTGAGTCCAGCAGGGAGAAGGTTCAGATCCCAAAGTGTTGACATGTACATCTCGGAGAAGTTCCTACAGAGTCTTTCAGTGACCCGTCAATGTCTCGGATTGGCTTCCCGCCGCTCTGCCTTTGCGTTTTGTGATGACCCAGTTGACATGTCTGGATGTGTCGACGGTGGCGTGTGTGCGTGGGTTTTTCTTGTTTGTGTGCGTGTGTTTGTTTGTGGTGGTGTCACTTGACAGAGTCCACGGCAGAGCAGGCCAAAGGTCACTGAGCGGAGAAGAAGAAGGTGAAGGTCACTCCCAGCCGTTATCTTTGATCATATGAGCCAGCTCGATGATGAACTTGCCTTCTTTGTATTTCTGACTGCTTTCAAACGCATGCTCCTGGAAGACAAACACAATGGAGGAAACGTTAGAAATAGAAAACACACAATGATGTATACAGTGGTCCCTCGTTATTCGCGGGAGTTGCGTTCTAAACATAACCCGCGAAATTGGCTAAGCAGTCCGTTTTTTTTTTTTTCAATTATTATAAATGTTTTAAGGCTTGAAATGTTTTAAGTCAAACCCCTCACTACACCCTTTATACACTTTTCTCAGACAGGCATTAACATTTTCACACTCTCTTGATTAAACACTCTCAGAGCTCAAAAATAAGTCCAGTATTGTAGAATGAAACCAAAGATCAAAACCTGTTGTCAGGCACAAACATTCATCGCTGTCAGCAAAAGTTTCATAAAGCTTTATAGCGTTTGAGTAGATAATGTTGGCATCCAGCGTAATGTTCTTTTTCTGCAGTCACTGATGCACGAAGCTAAAGCAGACTCCATCTTTAAGGGGGGGGTCACACACCGGATGCGCCGTGCACATGACACAAATAGGACACGCACATTTGCATGTTATGCCTAGTTCAGACTGCGTGATTTTAGCCGCGATTTTGGCTTGCCGACAGGTTTTGAGAAATCGCCGACAAATGGCTGAAATCACAGGCAAATCAGTGCTCGTGCACGTGAGTGACAATCACACAGTAAGAACTATCAAAGACGCGATCTGAGAGAATCGCTGATGAGTCGCCGATGCCTGCGAGATATTTGGCATGACTTGGAGCTGTCGGCGATTCGGTTTTGACTGAAAATAACATCAGCGATCGCCTACAGCCAATGAGAGAGCAGCATTCACTTGTGTGTGCGTGTGTGTATACCTGCTGCAGGCCAGCGGGAGGCTGGGGAGAAGTTAAAAGCGCTCTTTTTCGGTTTATTTGGACCCACGAAATGGAGGAAAAACTAGTGGAGGTTTGACAGGACTCAGGAGCAACCGTGTCTGTTTGACGTTTCATACAGAAAGAAATTAGTTTATCATCAACGTTGAGGAGAAATGGCTAATTCCCTTTAAACCCAGGTGAGCAAACATGTACATGTTCTACCCCATTAAAGGCTTCTTTCTCATTATGTAGTTAATAACAAAAAATATACTACGTGTTTTTGGCTGTGATCCGTAGTTTGGATGAAGTTGTCGGCGATTCTTCCTATAGTAAAGTCATGCAATGTGAAAGTCCCTGTCGCCGATCCATCTTGCAGTGTAAACAAAGCAGCGACGAAACGCTAGCCCAGATAGTCAAGCAGTGTGAAAACATCTGTGACACGACTACTTTAAAAATTATGCAGCCTGAACTCGGCATTACTTAAAATGAAGTTATTCAGATGGCGCTCTGTGGCGTGGCAGAAATATCCAATGTGTTAGAACATGGTCCTCAACCTTTTTAACACCACGGACCGGTCAATGCTTTGAAAATTTTACCATGGACCAGGGGAGGGGGTTGTTCGTAGTTTGCTAGGCGACCGTCATGATTGCTGTCACTCTTACACAAGTTATATATTAATGGAGAAAATTACAAAGCACTGCAGTGTTTGGGTGTTCTGTGTTTGTCCGAAATAATAAGTCTACCGTAATGTGTCTATTACATACAGGCTGAAGTTGATTGGTCAGTTTTGTCACGTGACCCGCGGTGCAGTTGTGGCATTCATTCAACTGGGGGTGTCTGGAAGGCGCAGGCCAGGCCAAGCGAAAGTCAGCCTTCACGCCGATTACGCGCACAGTCCGCGCATCCCACTGGAAATAACAAACTTGCGTGAACTCTAGAAAAGACGCAATGTGCGAATGGCCCCTAAAAGTCCTGCGTCATTTGCTATTTCCAGCAGTTGACCTTCTTCCACTGACATGGTGGATTCACCTGATTTGTTGACAAATGGGTTGCTGATCCATTGCTTGGCAGTTCGTGGGTCTTTCACTGAGCCTTTTTCCCACAGCAATGAAACTTTTCAAAGACGCCTGTACCCTACCCATTTTGCTGCTTGTGGGTTAAATTTGGGCGCTTAAGTGAGCGAGATGTTAACAAGTGAATACGGTAATTTTTCAAAACAAAATATTTTTCAAAATAAAATATTGTTCAGACTCAGATAATAAATAAAACAGGAATAATTTATGATTTCTTGTGCGGCTGACTACCAGTTGATTCACCGGTACTGGTTAAGAACCACTGTGTTAGAAGATGTGTGCACATTTGGTGTGCGACCCTCTTTATGATCTTCTTGCTGCAGACAGTTACAACCCTTTTTGCATCCTTGTTGAAACTTACACTGCTAGCGATCGAAGACTTTTGTTAATTTGGCAAGCTGAACGCATTCTGTACGGTACAGAAGACACAGAGGAGATTGACTTACAACGGTCTACAGCCAATCAAAATGCAGAACATAATGCGCTGTAAAAAAATGCATGTCTAATTGCACTAAAAATCCGCAAAACTCAGAAGCTGCGAAAGGTGAACCGCGTTATAGCAAGGGACCACTGTATTGAATATTTTTGTCTACTTAAAATTAATAAAAAAACTGATCAGTACGTTATCACATGACTTGATGCTTGGCTTCATCTACCACTTTCTGTATTGTCGCTGAAAATACATTAATGCATAGATGACTCTGTTAGCAATCATTACAGAGTTCTTAAAGGTACAGTAACAACAACTTTCCAAAATCTTTTCTTCAAATGTTTCTTGCTGGTGGAATGATCTTCTTGTTCCCACAACAGGGTATATACAGGAATCCTAAAGGTAATTTTAATAACTTTTTAAGACTTTTTAAAGACCTTCTCAGAATATTTTAAGACTTAGCGCCACTTCAAGATCTAAACCCAAGATCAGTATCAAACCTTTAACTTAATAAACAGTTGTAAATAAACAGTTGTAGTTAAATCAATGGAGCAGAACCATGCAACAGAACTCAGATAAGCTTAGAAGAATAATTTTCGTTATTTATTAAATTAAGTTAATATTGGGAGGACAATAAATTTATGCTTTTTTGGAGTCAATTGCTTTGGACAACCTTTGAACAAAATTTAAGACCTCATAAAAACGCTTTTTAAAGACTTTTTAATACCTTTCAAGGGCCTTAATTTTCTCATCATTGATTTATCAACTTTTAATACTTTTTAAGACCCTGCGGACACCCCGCACACAGACTGCTGGTTCACTGGTATCATTTAAACGATAACTAAAACCCCATCTCTTCCATGATGACCTGAACCCAAACAAAAAAGCACTGTATTTTATGCAATGTTGCATTCTTTAATAAAAAGAAGTCTTAAAAGTAAAAAACATTTAGGATGCAGATTTTTTTTTTTTTAAATAACTCTAGCCACTGCTTTAGGATGGTCAGCTTCAACCCCTTTAGGCCGTCTGAATCTCCTCTCACACCTGTCCATTACTCATCTGGACTTAAATCTGCCCACTAGATCCATGGTGTGTCATTGTGCCTCAGGATATAAACCCTACACTTCCAGCTTCAGCTCAGTCGGCCTGAATAAGAGCTGTTTCTGAGTGTTTCTCATAGGATGATGGTGAAAAGAGCTCATAAAAAAACTGTCCTGTGAGTGTTCAGCCTGATTTCAATATAAAGGCTCTGTAATCAAACATGTGGAGACCTGAAGCCTAACAAGATTGAGTCATCGTGAGTGCAAAATCCCTCTTAACCAATCCTTAGACACGATTAGAGCTCGCGTTTAATCAGGAAGAGAAACAACCAGACCTCAATACCTGCCGTCTGTGAAAACATGTAAACAAGCGTCACAATTGACTCTTAGTAATTTACTTATAATTAGCTTTAGGTGAGATAGATTGCTAAAAGCTTCTTGTATAATATAATCAAAATACTAACTCTAATTCAGAGATGCATTAAACTTTGCTTTTCTCTGATTAACTCCTATTAATATCCAATTAGGGGAGTCATTTTGGATGAGCTGGAATATATAAGAATCATTTTAGCTCGTAATACTGATTTTAAGATATAAAACAAATTTTTTCCATTCATGCACAGAACTTTGAAAGAGCCAAGGTGGTAAGATTTGTTTACATTTTTTTCTGTCTGCATTTAAATTGATTACTGTGAAATATTACATTATATTACAGCTAAAATAAACGTTTTCTGTTATATGAAGTAGGGCTGCACCAATATGATAAATAAAACTTGATATAAATTATTTTAAACCTGATTTCAAAAACTAAATATGAATAAATACGGTTAACAACTGATTTTATTTTATCATTGAAAATAAGCTTTTTTTTGGCCAATACTGTCTGAAGTGGTTGCCTATATATTGAGCATTACTAATATAAAGTTGTCATTTATTTGATATATAAATGCACTTTTGATCGATGTTATGCATCGGTGCTTAATAAAAGTATTAATTTCTTACAAAAACGTGACTCTAAACTTTAAAACAGCTACACATTTTCATTTTTACCATATTGTCACTTTATTTGCTCATATTATTATTTACTTACCTTCATTGTAAAAAGCAAATAGTTATTTTAAAATTGACAAAACCTATTGGAATTTTTAATTTGACTTAATTTGTCATAATTGTGTACAAAGTTAATTTACTTCTTAATTTTAAGCCAATAAGTTTACTCATTTAAGTAAAGTCAATGAATTGCTTTAAAAGCTACGGCCCTACTTTTTAAAGTACAGTCAACTAATCACTTTAAAATCAATTGGTTTACTCATAATTTTAAAGTCAACCAATCGCTTAAAAAAAGAGAGAAAACCCTTTGCTTTTAAAATCAACTAATCACTTTTTACAATGTTTAAATATGACATAATATGAATTCAAACATAAAAAACTGAGGGTTTATAACATTTCAAACTATTTAAAAAGTCAACTAATCACTTCAAAAGTTACAGGTTTACTCGCCCATTGAGTAAAGTCAACTAATCGCTTAAAGAGAGAGAAAACCCATTGTTTTTTAGGCAATTAGTTGACTTTAAAAAGTGAGTAAACCCATAACTTTTAAAGCAATTAGTTGACTAAAAACTACAGGCTTACTTTAAGTAAAGTCAACTAATCTCTTTAAAAGCTATGTTTTTTCTCTGTTTAAGTGATAAGTTGACTTTACTTTAAATAGTGAGTAAACCCATTCATAAAAAAGTAGTTGACTTGCCTTTAAAAAGTGATTTAAACCTTTAGCTTTTAAAGCAAAATCCACTACTTTTTTAAAACAATGGGTTTACTCACTTTAAGTAAATTCCGCTAATCACTTTAAAAAAAAGAAGAGAAACCCCATTGCTTTTAAAGTCAACTAATTGCTTTTTAAGGTTAAAATATGACACAATATGAATTCAAACATGAATAAAACTGAAGGTTTATAATATTTCAAACTATTTAAAAGTCATCTAATCACATTAAAATGAGCAAACCAGTAGCTATAGAGTAAAGTCAATTAATCGCTTTAAAAATTACTGACTTGCTTTTTAAAGTAAAGTCAACTAATCACATAAAAAAAGAGAAAACCCATTGCTTTTAAACTCAACTATTAGCTTTAGGTTTTCAACAGTTTTCAAATGTGACAATATGAATTCAAACCTTAACAAAGCTGAGGGTTTATAATGTTCTGAGGGTTTATAATGTTGATAATGCTGAGGGTTTAAAAAGTTTATACTGTAACTGTTTACATCATCTAGTCACTTTAAAAATTACACGTTTTCTCTGTTTTAAGAGTAAAGTCAACTAATCACTTTAAAACTAACCACTTTAAAACCTTTTTTAAGTGAAGTCAACTAATCACTTTTAAAAAAAGAGAAAACACATTGCTTTTAAAGTCAACTCAAGGCTTTTTACAGATTTCAAATATGACAATATATGACTTCAAATATTAATAATACTGAGGGTTATATTTCAACTACTTAAAAGTCAACTAAATTATTTTGAAAGCTATAGGTTCACTTATTTCACGGGGCTGCCTTTTTAAAAAAGAAAACAAGATTGTGGTAGGAAGAAATCCGGATGTATAGGACCAGCACTGTAAACAATGTAACAACAGGCTGTGGACTACAAATCTCCAGCTGCGATTTCAAAGTGCAGCTATAGTGTAAACATCACTTTAATATCATTGAGTGTTTAGGCAATACTTCCTGGGTTTCTTCCCACCACAGCCTCGCTTTCGATTTTAAAATGGCAGCCGCATGAAATCAGTCTACACGGTTACTCACTTTAAGTCAACTAATCAAATTAAAAGCTTCGGGTTTACTCACTTTATGTAAAGTCAACTAATCGCTTAAAAAAAGAGAGAGAGATACAAAACCCATTGCTTTTGAAGTCAGCTAATTGCTTTTAACAGTGTTTAAATAGCTTAAAGCTGAGAGGTATAATATTTAAAACTATTTAAACATCAACTAACCGCTTTAAAAGCTATGGGTTTACTCACTTTTTAGAGTTAAGTCAACTTATCGCTCTTAAAAAAAAAAAATTTAAATTAAATTAAAAAAGTAAACCCATTACAAGCCAACTAATTACTTTTTTTTTTTACAGTGCTCAAATATGACATAATACGAATTCAAACCTAAATGAATAGGGTTTATAATATTTCAATGCATATTACAGACCTGTTAAGCGTTATATTTTGAGCGTTTGTTTTAATGACTTATTAATGAGTTATCATCAAGTGTTATGGACAGCAATCTATTATTCAGTGTCTGCTGTTTGCATTGCGTATGAAAACACAATAGCATAAACACTTACAGCATCAAACAGCTTCGCAAATGAGCTGTGAGTGTGAATACAGACACACACACACTCAGAGCTGCAGTGAGAAGTCAATGCAAGAGAAGGTTCGTTCTGGTCACTGAAGCCTGGCGAAGTAACAGGATATCAGTCGACAGAAAAAAAAAAAAGAAGAAAAAAAAAAGCCACACCGCTACGATTTGCCAACTGCAGGACAAGCACTCTGACAAGCACGTGTCAGCAAAGTGCAACACCTCCAAAACAAAAAGCAGCTTGTACTCTGATGCATTAGGGGGGAAGATGTGACTCTATAAATGAGATTATATAACTATATAACTTACAATATAGTAACATCACTGTAAATTCAATCAATTAATAGTTTAAATATATAGACCACAGGTAAAAAACTATTTATTTTTACATTATAAAGTATATACTTACAAATGTACTCTTTATGTGATCATATTTGTCACGTTATTTAGAACTTGAGATAAAATTTTGGATATTGGATAAAATATTAGGGCTGCACAATATATCGGTGGCGATGCAGTGGCGCAGTAGGTAGTGCTGTCGCCTCACAGCAAGAAGGTCGCTGGTTCAAACCTCGGTTCAGTTGGCGTTTCTGTGTGGAGTTTGCATGTTCTCCCTGCGTTCCACCGGGTGCTTCGGTTTTCCCATCAGTCCAAAGACATGGAACTGGTGAATTGGGTAGGCTAAATTGTCCGTATTGTATGAGTGTGTGTGTGTGTGTGTGTGGATGTTTCCCAGAGATGGGTTGTGGCTGAAAGGGCATCCGCTGCATAAAAACATGCTGGATAAATTGGCGGACCCCAGATTAATAAAGGGACTACGCCGACAAGAAAATGAATGATGTTCTGTAGACATCTCAGTTATTAGAAATGATTTATTAAAACTATTGTGTTTAGAAATGTATTGAAAAATATATTCTTTACATTAAACAGAAACTGAGGAAAAAAACATACAGCTGGGCTAATAATTCTGACTTCAACTGTATATCGTCATATTGCACAGCCCTAAATGAGACTTTCACATAACAGGCTGTAATTTGCATGCAATGGAAAAAGAGTTAACTTACGTATTTCCAGCCCAGAGTGGTTTTACAGTTTTCACAGTAGATGTCCGCCACAGCGTGTAAACCTGTTAGGAGAACCCTCTCCTCTGCTGGACCACAACCGACATTCACACTGAGGGAAGAGAAGTTAATCAGCGGTCAAAATTATGAGTCATGTGACCGAGTCATTGTGGCTAACCTGCATTGGTTGACCACTAAGAACTAGACAGAGCAGATGGGATTACTGTGCATGCACTGTAAAAAGCAGTAACTGTTCTAATTGATAAAATTAAGTGCACTAATAAAATTAAGGTGTTCACTTAACAAAATGTAAACAAGTAATCCAGACATTTAGCAGATTAAGTTGTTAAACTAAATAGATTCAAGTAATTTTGACTTACAATAATATGTATGAGTGGTGCAATATTTAGACAAAAACTATGCTTTAGAAGTGTAGGTATTGGTTTTTGTCTTCACTTAAATCTTTCAGTTCAGCTTACTTGACAGTTTTAAGGCAATCAGCTTCCTAATATTTTCCTAGTACACTGTTAAAAGTGATTAGTTACTTAAAGAGAGTAAACCAATTGCCTTAAAAGCAACAAGTTGACTTTGCAAAAATAATGCAAGTAAACCTATTTTAACTTGGAACTGTTAAGTTAACCTAATTTTATAATTATGCTAATTGTACTTAAAGTCAACTAATACCTTTTTACAGACTATTCTGGCACGTCTGTTTTTTAATAATTACTGTGATTATCACAATATCACATATTTCGTGCTTCATTAGGTCTATAAAATCTACAATTATAGCCTGTATTGAATTTAGAAGTCTGGAAGAGCAGATTTATTTTACTTTATGTCATTTTGCTAGATCCCGAAAAGCTGGGGATATAATAAATGCTTATTGGAAAAAGTGATTAATTTACTTTTATTTTTAAAAAGTAAGAGCTTTAAGTCAACTTAACAGTTCCAATTGACAATAGGTTTACTAAATCAACTTGTTGCTTTTAAGGCAATTGGTTTATTCGCTTTAAATAACTAATCACCTTTTACAGTGTAATGTAAACACTAGGAAGTTAATACAACTTATTATTTTGAGTCAACGGTACTAACGTTTACTTTATTAGGAAGTTGTAAATACAAACTGTTTTAAGTTATGCTCACTAAAATTCAATACTTAGAAACATTGACGAAACTGACTGCCTTAATTTAAGTAAGGTCGACATATTACATTTTATAGTGTGAACTAACACAGTGAATTTAAATTAGAATAGAGATAGGATAGTATCATATGAGATTTTATCAACAGTGATCTACTTGACTGTGTAGTAGAGATGTGCGGATCAGCTGAAATGACACCCGAATCATACAAATCATCCACAGCCCGCACATATAGTTTTTTCTGATATATGTATCTCCACCCGACTCACACCCGATCGTCACATTAATAATTTAATTCTTTGTTTTAGGCATGATGATAGGTCACCGTGAATATTAACAGCAGACTCAGTGAGCTAATCTGCACATCTCTGATAATAAAATAATTTGTTAATCTTAAACGTTTTTAAATGAACATTTATTCATAAAAACATAAGTTTGTCTTTAGACAACAGTTTCTTCATTTTCAAATAGATACAGAAAGTAAAAATAAGACTTTTCAGATTTTACAAGAACAGAAACAAAATAACAAAAACGGTGCTACTCTAACTGAAACTTTGACCAGTAGGCTACTCTTGTACTTCATCCATTTTTATTGGGAGTCTCATATCTTCCCATTCTGCAAAGCCCACTCTCTGCTTTTTCGTTGGTCCACTGCCATGTCCCGCTACATCCACCCGCAATTAATCTTAATGTATTTTTTTATTACCCGACCTGCGGATATAACCGCCATCCGTGCATCACGACTGTGTCGACTAAGTGGTTGCAAACTATTTATATGAGCTGAATTTAAACAAATTAAATTTAGTGGTGTTCAACTTAATTTGTTTCTTTAAATTCAGCCTATATAAATTGTTTAACTACTTACATTAAAAAATAGTCAATAGTTTCATTGAAGAGTGAACTTATTCTAACTTAGTTTCAATGCATAAATACTGTAAACATTGAACTATTCTGTTCATGTCAATACCTAAAAGATTTAAACGGACAGCAAACGTGATTTAATGCAGCAATTATTCTTGCGTGAATGTTTAAATTTCCAACGACCACATTTGATGGCATCTGCTTCTAGATCTTTGCAATGGCAGCCCTTAACACTTGAGCACTGTAGTATTGCCTGAGGAATATCACAGTTCACTAACACATTCAACCTCGACTTTATCATCATACTATCACACACACACACTAGATACTAGAGCACTAGCTTAAACACACTGGTAGTGCAAGCTTAAATATGATGAATCACCAACTCGCATCATTAGATAGCAGTGCTATGTTTAGGCCTACAGCTTTCGTAATATGCAAAAGAGCCATTAGCATTCCTCTGCACGCCTCAGAGTGAGATATAAGGTATAATGTGCATTCACACGGTCATTATGGCAAATAAACGCCTTCGGGGTGATGTAAAACCCTTGCTACTGCTCAAATGTTTGGGATTGGTACCATTTTAAGGAGGTCATGAACTGAGAAATCAAAGTTCCCTTGATCTTTTGTCATTTGAGACATCATTGTGCTATATAAAAGTGCATCCTGTAATTTTCAGAACTTTCTCATGAGTCTAACGTGCTGTCTACTCTTTAGTTTTAAAATGTAGAAGTTTTGGCTAGGCTTGCTCAACAATGGTGTGCGTTTAAATGTTGAGGAGCAACTAATTGGCTGCTGAGTTGGCAGCAACCAATCACACACACCGTGTAAGCAGATATGATAAGACTTAAATAATATGACAGAACTTTGTATTTAATTGTGTCTTTGAAAATTAGAAGTGTTAAAAAACACAACTGACAACTTTGGAACAATATTGTATCGTCGTAATTTACAAGCATGCAGGTTTTTATGAAAATGAGATGTATACTTACACTGAGTTAAAGAGGTAGGCTCGTCCCTGGCTGCCTTGGAATGACTAGAGAGACAAAAAAACAAAAATGTAAAGTTACAAATAAAATTCTAGAACCATTTTAAAGGGACAGTTCACTCAAAAATAGGAAAATTCTGGGTTTCTTTCTTAATAAATTTTGGAGAAACAGGTAGCTATTGACTTTTATCTATCTTTCTATCTATTGTTCAATCAATCAATCAATAAATCAATCAATCAATACATTCAATTTTCTCATTCAATTTATCATTTAATCTATCTATAATTCAATGTATATATCGTTCAATCTATCTCTTCAAACCATCTTTCAATCTATTAATAATTTAATATATCGATATTTCAATCTATCTTTCAAACTATTTTTTATTTAATCTATTTATCATTCAATCTATCTATATTTCAATTGATCATTCAATCTCTTTAAATCCATCCATCTTTCAATCTATCCATCTTTCAATCTACCATTCAATCTATTTCATTCAATCTCTCAATTTCAATCTCATTCAATCTATCTGTTTTTCAAACTATCTTTTAATCTTTTGTTCAATCTTTCAAACTATCTTTCTATCTATCCATCTTTCAATCTATCGTTCAATCTATTTATCATTCAATCTATCTATCTACCTTTTATTTAATCTATAATTCAACCTATCTATTTTAATCTATCTACCATTCATTGAATCTATCATTCAATCCATCCATCCATCCATCCATCTATTATTCAATCAATCAATTAAACAATCCATTAATCCATCCATCTATCCATTTATTTAGTAAAAAAAAAAATACTATGGAGGTCAATGGCGACCAGCTTTCAACATTTTTCAAATGATCTTTTTTGTGTTCATCAGTAAAGAAGAGTACATTTTCATTTTCATTTTCAGGTGAACTTTCCCTTTAAGATCCAGGTTTTACCACGCATTAAAGGATTGTGTGTGGCTGTTACGTTGCTCTTTCTCTGTGTTTTGTCTATGTGTGTGTGTGTGGGTCGTTCATGGAAAGTGTGTAAAATGCGGTGTTCTGACAGCCAAGCTCTGGTCATGGGCCAACATGTGTATTTCATAAACTGCTCTCAGCATATGTGTGTGCAAGAATGAACCAGTGTTTCCCTTTTGAAATTAAGTGTGTGTGTGTGTGTGTGTGTGTTTGGGTTTATGACACTCTACATAATAAGCTGCACACATTACGTTGACTAGCCGAGAGTGAAGAAACAGAGGTGCTTTTATTCCTCAGCATAAAAATGCAGATAAAGCTGAACAGGAGGTGCTTCTGTAGGGTTCCTTTTCACTATTCAACAGCACAGTTCAACCAAAGAGGAAAACTATGTCATCATTTACTTATGTATGGTCAAATCGCTGAGTTTTGTTCTTCGGTGGGAACACAAAGGGTGAATTGTGTCCTGACCACTCTTTTCAAGATAATCAAATCTGTCAAAACTGAAACATATTAAATAAAACACACACATATATATACACATATATGATAAAACATAAATATCCTGGCCACTATTTGCAATATAAAAATTTTTTCAAGCTCAAAAATAAAATAATAAAAAAATAAATAATATTTTTGAACAATATCCTGCGTACTTGTCCTTAGTCAAATCTGTCAAGCTAAAATGCAAAATATATAAACAACAGTAATAATAATTCTCATTATTGTTATTATTAATATTGATTTTAAATAATAATAATAATACATTGTATAAGAATGTCTTCTCCACTCTTTTCAATACAAATTAAATCTGCCAAGTCTGGAAAATGGCTAAAAAGGCTAAATAAATAAACAAATAAAACATAATAACAGCAAACCATCAGTCTGTATTTCAGAATGAAGTCAAATTATTATATATTAAGTAAAAAAATAATCTGCTGTATTTTTGGGCACATTCATGACAGAAGCATAAATATGCAAGGTATGTCCAAAAAAACTCTGTCTATAAAGGTTTGCTTCTCACATAAAGCTATGATAAAAAGAAAGTGCACATCAAAAGATTCGGGGTTTTTTTGTAAACCACAATAAAACATTACTTAAAATTCTTCTTCAGTGTTTCACAACAGTTAGAAGCATCATGCTGGTGAGTAAATGGTGACAGCTTTCATTTTTGGCTGAACTAATCCCGTAAGTGTCTGTCGGTTGCTTTTCTTAAGCTGTCTGTGTTCCTCTTTCTTCTTGGTCAGTATTTTAATCTCTTCCTGGCTACTTTCTCCAGCCTGAAACATCTTTCCGCTGATAGCTTTAAAAGCATTAACCTGTTTAGCCTCTACCACACCTTATTAACACAGATAATGAGAGTTCAGGCCAAACAACCTGGACTAGCAAGTGTTGTGAAGACAAACAAACTTCAGCCACATGCTCAAACATCACTGCCGAAGTATAAAAAAAAGCACTGAACATTAGATACTAGTCATTGCATACTTAAAAAAATAGATAAACGAAATGATAGAATGATAAGGATAGATAGAATGATATAACAATACATCGAAAAATAAAGAGTTAGAAAAATAGAATAGATAGAACAATATAACAATATAGATAAAACGATAAACAGAACGATAAATCGATAGATAGAATGATATAAAAATAGATAGAATTATATATAGATAGAAGGATAGATAGAACAATACTACGATAGATAAAATGATTGACAAAATTATATAACAATAGAAGGAACAAATATATATTTATAGAAAAATAAATAGAACAATATATCGATGGGCAGACAAAATGATGGAACAACAGAAAGAATGATACAACAATAGACAAAACGATATAATGATATAACGATACACAGAATAATATAACAATAGATAGATAGATAGATAGATAGATAGATAGATAGATAGATAGATAGATAGATAGATAGATAGATAGATAGATAGATAGATAGATAGATAGATAGATAGATAGATAGATAGATAGATAGATAGATAGAACAATGGATGGATGGATGGATGGAACAATATAACAATAGAAAGACAGAACAATAAACAAACTGAGAGAACGATAGAACGACATAATAGATAGAACGATAGATATAATGATATAACAATAAATAGATAGAAAGATAGAATGATAACAATAGATAAAACGATAGATAGAATGATAATGATAGATAGATATAACGATAGACAGAATGATAGACAAAACGATAAATTTAAAAGCAATAGAATGATAGAATTATATAACAATAGTTGGATAGAACGACATAACGATAGATAGATAGATAGATAGATAGATAGATAGATAGATAGATAGATAGATAGATAGATAGATAGATAGATAGATAGATAGATAGATAGATAGATAGATAGATAGATAGATAGATAGATAGACAGACAGACAGCAAGAGACAGACAGACGGACGGACGGATGGATAGAGGGATGGATGGATGGATACATGGATGGATGGATGGATGGATAGAGGGATACGTAAATAGATAGATGGATGGATGGATGGATGGATACATAGAGGGATGGATGGATGGATGGATACATAGAGGGATGGATGGATGGATACATAGAGGGACGGACGGACGGACGGATAGACAGACAGATAGATAGATAGACCATTTTCTTAGAACGCAAAATTACCCATTATGCTTTGCGTGTATGCGCAAGGAGAATGCCAAGAACTAGTTGGCAGCTGATGCGTATAAACAGTCACATTTGGACAGCTTTGAAACTATAGTTTATCTATTTTACCTGCTTTTATCATCTTTGAATTAATACTGTTGTCGATCAGTCCACCTCCCGGACTAGTCATTTAAAAATGTGATCTAAAGGAATGGAAAACAGCTCCCCTCGTTGTCAGACGGCATCTTCTGCAGTTTAAATGAAGCCTTGTCATCGCTAAAGTCAACAGTTTCTCTTTCTTTTTCAAATATATAACCAACCCAAACAAATGTACTTCACCAAAATGTTTGACACACACACACGTAGCCTACTGTACTGTCCCACTGACACACTGATTTAATAACTGTGACAGTGAAAATAGTGACATTTTCAAATGACAGAAAAACACAAACAATGGTAAATACAACACACTTCAAATGAAACAAACGGCTCGCGATTAATGTAATGTATTTTTTATTTAGTGCCATGTCAGCAACCAAGGCTATCTTCATGGCAGGAATCTTTCAACAATAAATACAATTTAAAAATCAACAAACAAAATAAAACATAAATTAAATAAGATTTTTTGTGTTAATACATGATAAAAATTCTAAAATCTTTTCTGGTTCCACTTTGTCAAAAATGTCCTTAAAAGAGTTCATTTCATAAAAAGTCCTTCTGGAATCAGTAAAAGCAGGACAGTCCAGTAAAATATGTTTTACAGTGATAGGAGTTTTGCAGCACAAACACTGAGTGGGGTTTTCACCTTGGAGCAAAAATCCATGTGTAATTCTCGTATGTCCAATACGGCATCTGGTAAAAACTACTTGATCAAATCGATTCTTAAAATGTCTTAAAATTCTGTGTGAAACTTCAGGTTGGATTTCATGTAGTTTCGGCTCGCGATTATTACACACACACACTCACACTATATTTCTGACACCAGACACGTGAACTAGGGGAACGTTTTTCTCTCGCACTTGAACCACATCTGACAGATTATAATGGCTTTAACACACACCTTTCAAAGTTGTGTATCACAAAAACACTTCGTAATCCACTCAAAACTATTGAAACCCATTTTCGAATCGCAAAGATAGAACGATAGATATGGTTTATGAGAACTTTCCATAGGTGTAATGTATTTTATATAACCATTTCTAATATTCATTCATTTATGGGGACACATGGTATGTTCTCATGAATCACCTTATTAGTGTACACCAAAGTCAATCCCATGTCAATATTCAATACTTTTGGGTCCTCAAAAACCACATAAACAAGTAAAAACACATACACTTGTAAGGGTAAAATTATATGATAGAATATAATATAAAAAGACATAGAATAGTGTATAAAACCAACTTCAGAAAAAGCGCATACATTTAACAACTTTACAGGGACCTTCAAGA